GCACGTGCGGGGGGAGTCGACTGGTCCAGACACAGGTGGGCCTCGCGTGGGTATCCACACGCGTCCACCGTGGTCTGTCCTGTGTCTTGCCCTGTAATTTCTTCGTTGAATTTACCTTCAGTTACCGGTGGGGGGAGATTCGTGATGATTCAAAAGTCAGGGGTTGTCTAGTTTCAGATCCCCCCGAATTAATAGTCATCATCGTCGAAGTTCGTACAGATTATGACCCCATTTAGGGGTATGGTTCACTACAGTCATCGGAGAACTTGGAACATGTAACCCAGGGGTCTAAATTATGACCCCTGATGTAACCTAGGTACGTGAGTAGGTACAATTACGGCATGATGCAAAGTCTCAAGGTACGATCATACCTGTTTGGGTATGATCATATGTGTTGAGGTATGATCATACCTGTTTGGGTATGATCATACCTGCATGGGTATGATCCTATCCTGATAGATATGATCATACCTGCCTGGGTACGATCATACGTTATACCCTGATGGATACGATCATACCTGTCAGGGTATGATCATACCCTGATGGATATGATCATACCTGTCAGGGTATGATCATACGCTGATGGATATGATCATACCTGTCAGGGTATGATCATACCCTGATGGATATGATCATACGTGTCAGGGTATGATCATACCCTGATGGATATGATCATACCTGTCAGGGTATGATCATACCCTGACACGTATGATCATATCTGTCAGGGTATGATCATACCCTGATGGATATGATCATACCTGTCAGGGTATGATCATACCCTGATCGATATGATCATACCTGTCAGGGTATGATCATACCTATTGAGGTATGATCGTACCCAAACTCTTGGCGCGGGAACAGTAACTAGGTACGTATGTTCTCTACCTACGATAAGGTAGGTACTTCTTTGGTCACAGTCGACTCCGTGGTAGCTATTCTTATTGGCTTTAGTAATCAAAAACTCGGTTCTAAAAACTTAAAAATCCTGACTCGAAAAACACTCCCATTTTAAACTGTTCGGGACTCAATCGATCATGATATTTTATTTAGGATCCTCAAAATCTTGGTTAGCGATCGATCATCGCTAACATTAAATTCCACCCGGCATGAAATTGACATTTTTGGTCAGATACAATTCACTCCTCAWACCTGCTTCCACTATTCAAACGGCWATGTACCAGCGGGCATAACTCAACCACAACAATACACTTGGGATCAACCGAASAATAGAAGGAACTCTTAATGCAGGAAAAACTAAGTGSAAAGCTTTTGACGTTGTAATCAATCKGAAGAAAACAAAGCGGTAGCTAATTGAAAGGTGTTAGCCATGAGATTCCTTCTTTCGACCCATTCGGCAATCCACGTCCTTCTGTTCRTRGGAAGTCGGCAGACTATCTCGGCATCCAATGYACCAAAGAAGAAAAAAMTTGCGTTCGAGGAGGATTGGAAATTCTGGGATAGGCTAGAAAAGGAAGTCGTGGATAGTTTCATTGTTACAACATTGGACCCGATCGCGACACCAGCAAACAGTCCAACATTACACCCAACTTTGGCTCCAATCGCACCMTCCGAAAACCCAACAAATGTAGAGACTCTACCACCTATTCTACCGCCGACTGCAATACCTTCCCCTAGGCCGTCTTCTATGCCAACTACGAGCCCAACTCGATCGGGGAAACCTTCTTTTTCGGCTGCGCCCTCGCATTCSGGTGCTCCAACATTGACACCGGGTCCTACAGCAATTATYAGTCCTATCGCATCGGCYAATCTCCCGATTTTGGCTTCACCATCGTCGACTCCTGCGCCTTTCCGTCCGGGTTCCCCAACGTTGAACCCGGGTCCCACCACAACTGCCAGCCCCACGGCTTCGTCCAAGCCCTCGTCCTCGTCGTATCCTACATCTTCGGCTGCTCCTTCTCSTTCGAGCGCTCCRACAACGACACCAGGGCCTACCACAATTYCCAAYKCTACACCCTCAGCTRCTCCTTCGCAATCGGTCGCTCCAACAACATCGCCGGGTCCTACCTCGTCAGCCTTCCCCAMGGCAACGGCAAGTCCCACGTCTTCGRCCGCKCCCTCGCGTTCGAGCTCCCCCACAACGACGCCGGGYCCTACGGCGTCGGTCAGCCCTACCGGAACAGCCAGTCCWACGTCCTCGGSKGCTCCAACGACGACACCGGGTCCTACCGGTTCGGCCAGCCCCTCGGCCTCGGCTAAGCCTTCGGTTTCGCCACCACCCACGTCTTCCTCTGCTCCCTCCCGCTCGGCGGCTCCCACACGGACGCCCGGTCCTACCGCTACGCCCAGCCCTACGGCCTCGCACAGGCCATCGGATTCGGCCCCGCCGACCTCCTCGCCGGCTCCCTCCCGCTCGGCCGCTCCCACGCGAACCCCTCGTCCCACAAGGTCGGCCGGCCCGACGGATTCGGTGGCCCCCACGGCCTCGGCAGCTCCGACGCGGTCCGAAGCCCCCACAGGGTCGCCGGGCCCGACGTCCTCGGCCGTCCCCACGGCATCCACCGCTCCCACGGCCTCGGACGCACCCTCCGCATCGAGCCTTGCGCCGACCTCTACCGAGTGCTTTGTATCGGCGGACATTGCGTGCCAGAACGAGGACGGCGGATCCTGCGAGTCGTTCTCCAACCCCATCGGAAAGCGGTGTACTGGTGGCGGGATCGCCCAGGAACTCGTGTTCCTGTACAACTCGGACTCCTTGTGCATGGGAAACAACACGCAGGACGAATTTTTGTGCGTCGACGAGGTCACCAGCGATCGATCCAGTCTGTCGTCGGTCTACGTCATYGTGTTTCACCGTGACGATGTGTTTTTTGAAGGCATGGTCAACGAAGGGAACGTTTTTTCGGTTGTCGTCGACAAGACTTTCGGGGACGAACCGGAGTTGATCGACATCGAGCTTCGTTCCCTGAGCGAAGATTTTGGTGCCGGAGACCTCCTCCAGACAATGACAATGAGCGTGAGGTGCAGAAGAAAGGCCTCGCTGACGCTCTTGGACACGTTCGGAGGTCTGCAACTGGTCGGCTTTCGGAACGAAAAAGAGGGATTGCAAACCGTCTACGCGGATCTTTCCATCCAGTACACGGCGACGAACACCGGCGTCCGGGACCTGTTTCTGACCGGTGCCACGAAAACCACCCCGATCCTCGATGGAGCGCAGCCCCTTTTGATTCCGACCGAGGAGCCCCTCTTGCTGGCGGCCGGCGAGGAAATGGCGTTTTCGGAAATTCTCACGGTCAATCTTGCGGCGATTGCTGGGGGGAGTGGGCTGGGCTTCGAATTCGTGGTCCAGGGCGAGGACACGGGAAGCGGCCAAGAATGCGCAGACTCCGACTCGTTTTCTCTCCAAATAGCCGCTTAGGATCGTCGATGGTGAGCGAGACTTTTCCACCTAGCTGCTGTTTTGTCAGCCAGCACACGGTATGCCATCAAAGCAACGCGGGAAGATATTCAACTACGTAGCTGTGGAACAACGACCTTCCCCTCCTTCTTGTTCCATTCCATAACGCATATTTTATTATTTTAATTTTAGAAATACACATACAATAATGGCGAACGATCTACCATACTCTTGGAAAAAATAAAAATTCTGATTATGTCCTGATATTTCTTATGGATCCGTGTGCTGTAAATTGAATATCCCAACGATGTTTTCCGGAGACTCCAAATGCCCTTAGATTGTTGAGACTCTCCGATCTTTCCATTATGGTTTGGTTCGCAAGCGGTCTCAACACGTCGATAGTGTTACCCGTGTAACGAAAACAATAATTCTTGTCGATCAGGGATGGATGCTGGGATGATCTCCCGTCTCTTGTCCGTGTCGGCGATTCCAAAAGTTCGTCGGGGAGCGAATCGAATAGTTGCGTCACCGCTGCTTTTTCTTTGGCGATTGCTTTCCTCGCGGTAGCAAGCATTCCTGCACGCAACCACGTCACGGATTCCGTTTGTTGTTCGAGATGCGTCAATCGTCGAGGCCTCCAAACATGTCGTCGTCGTCTTCGCCATCGTCGTTGCTGTCGCTCTCGTCGTTGAAATAGTCGTCGACCTTGTTCCCGGCCTTTTTCGGTCCAGGCCTTTCGTTCGGGACCCCTCCCCCCCCTTGTTCCGGGAGCGACGACAGGAGCTTCGCGCGGACGCTGGTGCGGCGGGCAAAGACCGCCTCGACGGCCCTTTGCTCCCCGACCGGCAGCCACGAGCGGCCCTTGTGGSCTTCAATGGTTCCTCCCCTTGCCGCCAACGCCCGCGGGACCTCCCACGCCCGTTCCGTGTCCCTGGGGTCCCCGTCGATGGCCAGGGCGTAGGACGTGCGCCCGGCCAGCCCCCCGGCAGCGGTTTGGGTGCTTGCTCCGTCCCACGCCGCGGGGTCGAGCGCCTTCCACCGCAGAAGCTCCCTTAGGTATTCCACCATGGGGGCGCTCGGGAATGCCTTGCCGGAGACGGGATCGTCGCTGCTATTGCTGTTGCCGTTGCCGTCGACGCTCTCCAAACATTCCCGGAGTATGCGGTGCGCTTCGTGCATCGACGGGATGCCGCTACGAACGCCATCGGCATTGCTAGGGGGTTTTGTGGTTGGAGCATTGGCATCGGCATTCGCATTCGCATTCGCAGCACCGCTGTCTTCGTCTTTCTTGCGGAGTCTCTTTCGCTCCTTTCTCAGGAGTGCGAGATCGAGTCCCTTTTTTCCGTGGGGAACGAGAAGCAGGTGGGCGTTGCTGCTGTTGCTGTTGTTGTTGCTGTTGTTGCCGCTGGAATCGATCCCGCCTCCCTCCCGCCGTTCCTTCGCACGGTCCCGGTACCGTTCCGACAGGTCCTTTCGAACGGCCTCGCGCTCGGCGGCGTCCTCGTCCGCGTCGTTTTTCTTTCCCTTCTGCCCCTTCTTTCGGTGGTCCTTCCCGTCCTTGGCTTCGTCGTCGTCGTCGTCGTCGTCGGACGACGACGCATAACCGCCACCGCGCTTTCGTTTCTTCCGGGTGCGGAACTCTTCTTCCACGGCCCTGCGAGCTATGGCCTTAGTGCTTCTCGAAGAGGCTGCTTCGTCCGTTTTGGTGTTGTGCGTTCGCACCAAGTCCTTAAAGGCATTGTTGTCCATAGGAATGGGAATCGGAATCGGATACTGTAGAGTAGCACTAGGTTGCAATCGAATAGAATCGATTGCAATACGACTTGGTGTAAGTAGCACCGAATGATGCTTTGGGTGCTTGTGTGGTTGTTGGTGTTCGTACGAGTACCGTACTTGGTGGTCGAAACATCTGACAACACGAGTTGCGAGTTGCGAGTTGCGAGTTGCGAGCTTGTTACGAAGAATAGTAGTACATACTCGTATTAGCTACCGGTATTATCCTACGGTACCTTGAGGCTGAATTCGAATTTCGAATACCCACGGGTAATCTTCATAAGAACCTACGGTCTACTGTAACTACAATCCCTACGTATGGTACGTATGTGCACTTAGTATGATCACTGGTTCGTTGTGTGCCAGTCTCCTTCCGGCTCGTCTTTGTCAAGAGGACTGCTCTGATGGGAGGTTTCCAGGGTCGGCACGAGCCTCTCCGTGGTGGAGAAGCGCTTCGGGGAGCTGGCACACCACTCCGACCGGCTGGGGAAGGCCATCGAGCTCCTCGCAGCAGAGGGTGGCAAGGGAAGGAGCCGGGGACTAGAGCGGTACACACAAACGCAGCGCAGAGCTACGCAAAAACTTCACAAACGCTACGCAGAAAMTTCAAATCGAACCAATCCACGGGGGAACCACCAAAGACWKTGTGCCGGGAACAGTGTGCTTGACGGCGATGGTTTTCTTTAGWTTGCGGCCATGGCCATGGCTGCAGCTGTGGTAAATCCTGCTACAAGGTCTGCAATTGTCCACACCTTAGGGTCTGCTCCAGGAGCAGAAAKATCCTGCAACCGGCCAAGATCGTCAACCTCATTCTGGATTCGGATAGTGGTCAAAAACCCAAATTCTTCCGACTCGGTTTCGCTCTCTTGAAGAACACGACGTGCATTACCAAGCGCATACATGTATGGATAATWACTCAAACCTCCCAAAAAGAAACCGTCCAAGTACTCWATCTCGCTGCAGAAATCTCCAATTAACGACAGTTCCGTGCCTGTACTAGCTCGAGATTGTTACGATTGATAACGTTTYGCCTCCGGYGTTACTGTCTGGGATATAGTCCAAGTGGTACGGAAGTGCTATTTAGTACCGTATGAGGACCATACGATGAAATAGAAGAGAAACGGATATTCGACGAGAGCACATTGCTACTGAGCCGTGATATATATAACATACGTGTTGTATCTAGTAAGAACAAAATAGTTATTGCTAGAGAACAACATTGCTCTGTTGTGACGACAAAACGGAAGGCAAAGCTCCGCTGGAGATCCTTCCCGCGGAAGACTGCGACGGCTCGGCTCGGCGCCGCACCAAGAGTACCACCACGGGGCGAGAGTAGTACGGCACGACACGGCCTGTTTGGTGCACGGCAGAGACCAAGCCCTTTGCACCACACCGTGGTATCTGCGGCGGACGCACCGCATCCGCAACGGCGGCGGCGGCGGCGGTCCGGCCGTGCGTCGAACCAAGGTGGCTCGAAACRACGACGACGAACAACGACGATCGATTCGAGAAGTTGCCGGGCTAAGGTTATCAAGGATAGAGTGGCAGCCAACTTTCTCAATCGTTTATTCATACACGTTGCATGACATCGCATTCAAGTGCAAAAGGCAAGAATACGACACCCTTCGGTAGAAAGAAGTTTTTCGAAAACGTGGTAGACACCTAGCATTTCCTTTCAAACTCAGGAAGCTTTCAATGACGAGTCAAGGAGAAACYAGGACAGGTAGAGAACTACTACCGTAGAACGGATGGATCGACCAGAMAGAATTGAAGGATAGATCGACTAGAAGGAATACAATGATGGTCCAGTAAGTTAAGACTCAAGTCCCAAACCGAGTCCTAACCGAGTCATATTTTTCGCTTCAGCAAGAATAAATTTCGATGCGGCAGTTGAGTTGATGGTTTTTCTGTACGGGTCCATCATAAAAAATCGACTACGACGTTTCAAAAATAAATAAGACCAGAAAATGTGACTAAAATGTGACTCAATAGTACKCCAAACGCGCGTGCCTACTTCAATATTATACATACTCGTATACAATCATTTCTCCTGAAAATTATTTAGTCATTCAAGAGATCGCGCGGTAAGATTACAGTTAAAAAATGGACCGTTGGATCGAAAATAAAGGGCCGAGATGCACGCCGTGCACCTATGTCACCCTTTTCGTCGGTCTCATGAAAATAAGTGCATAATTTTGGTTTTCAAGCAAATCAAGGCCAAATTAGTGATTTTGTATCATAATTTCATCCTGAGTTGTRCAGCAAAAGGGAAMTTGCAGCTTCAGACAATTGAAATCGTAGCTCGRTTAAGGAAGAAGGATCTTTCTGCTATACACTTGGTCCGACACTAATTCATGTTGACAGAGTGGTACCATTTCAACGGAAAACAATGGAACAAATAGAAGATATGTTTGTGAAACCAGAGAGAATTGGCGACGGTAAGTGTGATACCCTTGCTATTCATCGGCAGGAGAGCCCGGGCCGTTCTCCCGAATCCAATTTCTTACGGATGTCTGCTCGATCAAATAACACAGTGGGTAAAATATTTCCACACCCGCAGAATGAAGTCGATGTCTGGGATTCCTCTAGAGACCCCGACACACCCGATCGGAAACGCAAGACGTCCGACGACCGTCAACCCGAGTCTCCTCCAGAAATCGAACGAAAGCACGCAGCAAACAGCTGGCATCGAGAGAAGGACTTCCAGGTCCACCCKGGTCCATTGAACACCGACTCTCCRGCATCCTTCCCAAAACACTCGATGGGGCACAACGAACCGTCTCGGTACCATCGAGAGGTGACACCACACCACCAACCCGAGCTTCAGAGTGTCAATAGCAAAAACGGCACCCCATCGCTGGCTAGCGAAGAAGATCGAAGCTTGCACGGGGGATACGATGCTCCGGCWTACCAYGGAACCAATTACAACAACGGTGGAAACTACGTTCACGAGAACGGCCACTACCAGGGACACACTCCCAACCGCAACCAGGGCCATTACTTGCCCGACATGGAACCCTCGCAACAATACAACCAAAACCAGCAGCAGGACAACTATTTGCGCCCCCGGCGCTGGGCCTGCGACTACTGCAACGTAGCAACCTTTGTGAGCTACGAAGAGGCGTGTGCGCACGAGGAACAATGCGCACGGCAGTATTTCGAGCGATACGGGCGCCACCCGCACCCGTCGAGGGGTCCGGTGCCGCAGTACGATCGGCCGCAGCCACAGCAGCAACAGCAGCAGCACCCTCCCCAGACACCACCGCAGGGAGTGCTCGTCACCCCACCGCAGGGCCACACCGGGAATCTTTCCCACGGAAACCAGGATGTCGGTGGTCGCCAGAACTGGGGGTCGCGTGGCGGGCCTCCCATGCCACCGCTAGCTCCTACCTCCCACGATCCCGGACACCATCCCCACCACCAGTACCACCCACACCAGATGCACCACCAGCCCGTGTACCCGCACCACCAACAGCACCACGGGTACCACGGCCAGCACCACTCCATGCACCACCCACCACACCMYCCACCACACCACAACCCCCACCACGGCTACCAACACCACCCTCCGTACGGTGGATACCACGGATACGACGCCGGTCCCAGCGGACAGGGACGGCGCGATGCCTACCAGATCAACCCGCAAAAACGCCTGCTTCTCGCCATGGGCACGGACCAGGACAGCCTGTCCGACCGSCAGTGCTACGTTCGTGCGGAAATGGTCGAGATCTTYGCCGCCACCGAGAAGGACGTGTCCGCGAGACACTCCAAGGGGGCACAGAAACTCACCATCGGGCAGGTCGGCATTCGCTGCGTCCACTGCGCCCACCTGCGACCGAGGGATCGCGCCGAAMGGGCCGTKTGCTACCCCTCCTCGATCAGCAGGATCTACCAGACCGTTGCGGACATGCAGCGCTTCCACTTCGAGCAGTGCCGCGAGATCCCGCCCAAGATCCGAAAGATCTACAAGTCGCTAAAGACCACCAGGCCCCGCGGTGTGGGTTCTCCGCAAACCTACTGGGTACAGAGCGCGAAATTATTGGATTTGGTCGACACCGAGAGCGGAATCCAATTCGGAGCCGACGTCAAGGTGAAGGARGAAGAAAAGGACCAGCAGCAACAGCCGCAGCARCAGCARCAACAACAACAGCCGCAGCAACAAGAACCACCKTCTTCCGCATAAACACAAAATTGGGAAATCTAGGGACCCGCGTCCAGTTTCAACACGCCGCAACGATTGAACAACACGACGGAATAAATTCTATTGGGAAAATTTATTTCACTACACGCATTAATTTATTGATTATAAAAGTATTCATTGTTACAAAAATACATGGAATGATGCCACTCGCAGAAAGATATAAAACCAACTTATCGAGGTGTCAGATGGGTAGAAAGATTGGTTCGTACGGCACTCTATTTCTCCCGGGCTAGTGGTATTAAACATTTTGAGGCTTCCTATGGAGAGCTTTTATTTTATGACCCCAAAAAACGCTGGTAACTGGGCATTTGTATCAGTACCTATATCACGTCTCGTTTGGTTTCGTTTGGTTTCGTCTTGTGTGTTCGCGTTCGAGCACCGCGGTGCTGCTTCGATCGCTCCGTTGATTCCGACCGAAACGTCCCGGTGCGTGGCACGAAAAACGGAGCTCGGCACGATGGACCAGAACCGGGGGTTCCGGAACGGCGGGGCTCGAAACACGGCAGGCACCGCGTTGGTCCGCCACCGTCGGAAGGAAGGGATGTGGGCGGCGAACACGGATGGTTGGTTGGTTTGTGCCATTGCCCAAAACCTGGCGCCGGAGAGAGGGGTCGAGGTGCCGTCGGCAACAAAACCGACAAGGATCGACCTGCTGTACAGGAACCCCTGCGCAGATTTTGCTGCGTCGTGTTTTGGTTTGCATTCCTTTTGCAGCCTCGTTTGAGTTAGGCCGACACGAAACGACACGACACGACACGACACGACACGACTCCGGCTCTGCTATTGGCCGGGGGCAGCCTCCACCGGCCGCAGGTCCCGGAGCCGCTTGCCCGGCTTGAAGCCGGGGTGGTCCCTCAGCAGCTGCGCCTCGTGCCTCCTGCGCTTTTCCTCGTGCATCCGGTCCATCGGCGCCAGGGCCGCGTCCAGGCCGGCCCCCCTCCCGCTGTCCGACGCTTCGTTTTGGGTTCCGGGGAGGCCCGCCGCCGGTGGCGCCGCCCGTTCGCCTTCTCGTTCTCGTTCGTTCTGGTCCGCCCGGAGTTCCTTTACCTCCGCCGCCAGGAAGGCGACCTCCTTTCTCAGCTCGTCCAGCTGTTGTTGCTGTTGTTGTTGTTGCTGCTGCTGCTGCCCCACCGCGCCTCTTGGGCGGACGACGTAGCCATCGATCTCTTCCTCGCTCATCCCGGAATCCCTCAGGAACTGGATTTCCTCCCCGCGGTAGTAGTCGTCGGTGGAACGGAGCAAATTGCGCAGGACCAAGACCACCAGCAGCAGCAGGAGCAGCACGTTTCGGGGGCCGAGCCGCCGCAGCCGAGAGCGGGCGTTTCGGAGGTGCCTGTTCTGCCACGCGTTGTTGCCCCCGGCCGTTGCGGGCCCTCCGTATTGCACCATCGATCGTTCTTCGGGAGAAACCGTTGGGCGGTGCCGGATTTGGGTGTTGCGGACGATCCCGAATAGTGAGGGTTCCGAATCGAACATCACTGGTAGAGCACAGTAGGTACGCTACAGTACGACAACACAACTACGAAAATCGTAATCGTAATCGTGGTCTTTCGGTCTTTGCATACCGTACGGTATGATAAATACTGTAGATAGATATAGATACTAGCAGTAAAATCTAAATCTAAATCAAGAGATGAAAGAGCTCGTACATACGTACGTACCTACATAAGTAAGGTACAGTATTAGGGTATTGTTCGATTGTTCGATTGTTCGATGCGTCAAGTTCGATTTCTCGTGCTCCTCCTCGTACCATACTTTCCACGGTTTCGTAGTTTATCGTAATGATGTACGAAGAGTACGTACGTTCTCGCACGTACAGTACTACGATCACTACTGTATTTCTAATTCCACGCGTTTCTCGTCGAAAGTTGAAGTTTCCAATGTGTCATCTCTCAAATTCCATCGAACTGAGACTGCGGGAAGAATCGATCCGAAAAAATCTTGTGTTTTTGTGCATCGATTGTTGCCGTCAGTACAGCAACTGGAAGATTACCGACTGCAACAACAATTCACGCCGAAGAGTTCTCCGGCACGACAACATTCCCCGCGAAGACTAGGATTCCTCAGGATTTTTCGATAAGGATCGTGCACTCTGTCCTGCCGTCACCGCTTCATTGCAATAGTAGAATTCCCTGCTTCACACACACAGGCATACGCATAGGCATACACACAAACACACACAACACCATCCCATCAAAATGACGCCCAAAAAACTGCCCTGTCTGGCGGTTGTGCTCACGGCGCTCGCGGTCCGCGACGAGGGAGTCGCCGGATTCGTCCCKCAGACCGGCCTCCATTCGAAGRTCGCCACCGGAAACACGGGGCTGGGCGTCGTCGGCCAGCAGGCCGAGTCCTTCGGACCGGCCGACGTGATCCGAAAGGTCAAGTCCAGCCTGCCCCAGATCGACTGGCTGGCCGAGGGAGACGCCCCCGCCGACAACAAGGTCAACATGCCCGACCACGTCAAGGCCGTCCTGAGCCGCCCCGACGCCCCGGTCCGGGAGGCCGAGAACGAGGAGCGGACCGACCGCATCCGCAGCCGCTTCGAGGAGGCGGCGAAGGACGCCCAGGCCCTCAAGGGAATGTGCGTCGGAGAGACCGACACCGGCGCCTGGTGGAGGCAGAAACTCATCATTCCCAAGGGGGGCCGGGCCGTCACGAAGGAGGAGCCCCTCCGCGTGCTCGTGGCCGGGGGAGGCCTGGCGGGTCTTGTTGCCGCGGCCGCCTGCCACGCCAAGGGGATGAAGGTCGCCATCTTCGAGCAGGCATCGACCTACGCGCCCTACGGAGGGCCCATCCAGATCCAGTCCAACGCCCTAAGGGCCATCCAGCGGATCAACCCAAGGTGCTACGAGGAACTCGTCGCCGCCGGGACCGTCACGGCCGACCGGGTCTCCGGCCTGAAAATCGGGTACAAGAAGGGAAACAAGCTCGCCGGCCTCTACGACGCCGGGGACTGGCTCGTGCGCTTCGACACCCTCGGGCCGGCSCTCGAGGCCGGTCTCCCCGCAACGGTGGTCGTGGACCGCCCCGTCATCCAGCAGATCATGGTCAAGCACGGACTCCCGGAGGGAACCGTTCGCATCAAGTCCCGCATCCAGTCCTACGAAGACCTCGGSGAGGGACGGGGGGTCGTCGCCACYCTAGAGGACGGCACCAAGGCCTACGCCGACGTCCTGGTGGGAGCCGACGGGATCTGGTCCCAGATCCGCAAGATCCTCCACGGCCTCGGAGAGGGGGCCGGTGGATTTGCCGCCTCCGGCGCGGCCGGGGGAGCCCTGGACGACGCCGAGGCCCGCAAGCTGGCCCGGGACACGGTCGCGATCGCCGCCTCGGCGGACCGAAGGCACTCCGGGTTCACCTGCTACGCGGCCCTCGCGCCGCACCGGGCCTCGAACATCGAGGACGTCTCGTACCAGATCCTCCTCGGCGAGAAGAAGTACTTTGTCTCCACCGACGGCGGTGGCGAGCGCCAGCAGTGGTTCGCCCTCATCCGGGAGCCGGCCGGGGGGGTCGATCCGGAGCCCACCCCGGAGGACCCCACGCCCAAGCTCACGCGGCTGCGGAAGGAATTCGCCTCGCTCGGAAGCGGCGGGGACGCCGACGGCAACGAGTGGGACCCCTTCGCGCTGGAACTCATCAACGCCTCGAGCGAGGACGACATCAAGCGCCGGGACCTCTACGACGGGGCCCCCCTCCTCACCACGCTGGATCCGCAGCGGCTCCTCAGCCCCTGGGCGAAGGGGCCCGTAGCGCTCTGCGGGGACGCCTGCCACCCGATGATGCCCAACCTCGGGCAGGGCGGGTGCCAGGCCACCGAGGACGGCTTCCGCCTCGGCGAGGAGCTGGGCTCGGTCTCGAACACCAGGGACATCCCGGGGGCCCTCGGAAAGTACTCCCGCGTAAGGGTGATCCGAACCGCCATCATCCAGGGCTTTGCCCAGCTGGGAAGCGACCTGCTGGTCGACTTTGATCTCATGATGACCATCCCCATCCTCGGGCCCTTTTTCCTGCGAATGACGCAGCTCTCGATGCCCTGGATCCTGCGGTTTTTGTACACGGCCGACTTTTAGGTGTCGCGCCGTTGTCCGTATTAGGTAGTAGCCAGTAATACTACTAGTATGAATGAACCACGATCTGTTTCTCTTGTAGCCCGTGTGATAGCGCAACAGTCGGTATAGCTTATGTTTCAGGTACCGAAGTATCTTRMAGAGGAACAAAAAGGTAACCAGTCGAAGCTTTCTCCTTCAAACAGTCATTGCTTGTACTTTGTTATTATCTTGTAAATGACGTTTCGGTTTCCCTGGCCATATCTTGAGAATTTTTGGTTGTATGTTCATTTGCAACCTTGAAACCGCTAGAATGGTTTTATTGGCTACTTTATTTGCAACTTTGCAGCTCAACTTATTTCCATTCCTGCGGGTTCTTCTTACAGCCTCAACTGGATTTGTAACTGAATAGGCAAATAGTAGGCAAATAGTAGTTTGTTTCAACCAGCAAGTCTTTGTCAGGACTTTGCACTTGGCATTTGCAAGAAGCTTGAAACTTCACACTTACTTTGCTACTGACCTATTTGCACCATTGTTACTACTACACCAACTGAAGTTGCAAGCAGCACCAAGAATATAGAACTGAATGGATAGTAGCTAATACAGAATGAATTCTGCAACCTTTCAGTACTACTTTACCATAAATTGTTGATGAAACAAACCATCTTTGCTGGTTGCCTTGCAACTGAATGAAGTTTATAGTTTGTTTGCCCACACTACTTACAASATAATTTGCTTAAATGTGAGCTTGTTTCTTGGTTGCAGAAAAACCCCTAGTACTACTTATTCCACTTTGAGAGTTTTTTACAGCTCTATTACCACTAGTACCTACTAGTAATACTAGTACTGCTGGTGGTGTTACTGTGAAACCCAGCTTGCTTACTTGTAATACAGTAAAAACACCTGCAACATGCTTCTTCTTGGGAGATGATTATGACAGTGGTACTACCACCAATGGCAAGAAGAGATGACTCTTTTCAGCCAAGAAACTTGGTTACTGGGAGACAGAGGCTGGCAACAAGTGATGCTACAAGCATCCATCAGCAAGAGACAGCAACCACCCTGGAGCTCAAGGACAAGGACAAGGACAAGGACAAGGACAAGGACAAGGACAAGGACAAGGACAAGGACAAGGACAAGGACAAGGACAAGGACAAGGACAAGGACAGCCATATCTTGAAAGTTTCATGATGACTACTACTGGTGATGGGGATTGATTGTGATGTCATATTCAATTCAATAAAGAAAGTGATATCTGTATATTCTTGACCCATTCCTCCAGGCAACCATGAGAGCACAAAAGCGCAACAATAGTAGAATCTTTGATTTAAGAAGACATTGTGTTATTTCTTATGTGGATAGAAGATGAGAAAGAACCAAAAACAACAGTAGGAGGAGATGATTTTAAGCTGTCATAAAAAGTCATCAAATTCTACTAGTACAACTAGTAGTACACAACCATTTGTTTCCAACATCAATGCAGGGACTTTTCCTTCCACTACTTCTCATAAAGAAGGAGAAGCACTGACAAGTCCTTGCAGTACTATTACTTTTGTTCTATCTTCAATTTTTAATCAGGATACTCAAGGACATCATCATCAAAATGTACTTACAACATGCAGTACTTAAGCAATTGATCTTCAATTTGCAGATGTTGAAGATAACCTTGGTCATGTGAGTTATTGAGTTAGTATTCATCAAGAACCAAAGAGGTGATATGTTACTATGATATGGTGGATTCAGTGACATAGGTTTGGGGCTCAGTCAACACACCCCTGCAACTCCTTTCCTCTTGTTGAATTCGCACACAAAAAGAACTCACTGGATATTAATTCTTGTCATAAACTCACAAAGATTTTTATAAATCAATAGTAATTTTTGAGGAACAAAGAAAAAGAGAAAAGCAGAGCTGCAGCAGCATTAATGGTCACTCCTCCTAATGGTAGGGAATGGCTGGTCACCTCTATGTGTTCATATTCTGAAAGGAATCTGTTTTTATGTTTGTTTTTTTACAATGGTGAATAGTTGAAGGGAAACAAGCAGTTGCAGATGTTGGCAAAGATCCACTACCAGGAGCTGTACTAGTAGGACCTGTTCTTGCAATTTGTCAAGGTTTGTTTGAAAATCTCAATTAATGAGTAGTAGTAAATTACCTGGGAATTGAACCAACCGATGGAGACCACCATGCACCTTAAAACTTTGAATTGATCATCTTGGGGAGCCTGTGATGCATTATCAGGAGGAAAGAATTGGGAAGCTGGATACAGTTTATGGTGCATTCATGAGGAGGCCCTGGTATTGGAAGCAAAATGTGTATTATGTAGAAGTAGACAGTATGATGTTCATCTGTTAACATCCTTTCTGTTGATTTCAAGAAAGGAACTCCTGTTACAAAGTTGCCAACAGTACACTCTAGTAGTAACTGCTGAAGTGGTGCAACTTGAGAACGTGGGTGAATTTGCAACTAGTAAGATGTCTCAACCTTGATAGTAGAACAATAATTTGGTTGGTACTAGTATTCAGATAGACGACAAACAAGAAAAAGTTGCAGAAAAAGATAAATAGTGAGCTTGCAATTTGGTTGAACAAAATGGTTTTGCAGGAGGTTGGAACAACAAATCAAACCTTGTTGAAAGTGGCTTTTGTGACAATACAAGATAGTTTAGCAATCCTCCTCATCATCAGCAGGATAGAATGATACCTTGTTAACATAAACATAAATGAGAGGCAGATGACATTATTGAATGGTTAGATCTTAGTAGTAGTAACATGATCTATTGAAAATTGTACTGATTGAGCTCCTTTTTCATCTTTTGCTGGTGAGAAGAAGGAGGAGAACAAAAAGAGAGGACTAGTATGGAGTTGAGGCAAAGGAATAAAGATAGTAATGAGGAAAAGAAGAAGGATGCATGATACTGGAGGGTTCCTCTACTCGCCACCACCACCATTCTTCTTCTTCTTCTTGTCCTCACTACTACTAGTACTAACTGAAGCAAGGAACAAGGGGGCTCCTCCTATTTTGGTGGTGGTGTTTCTCCTTCCACAATTACTATAATAGGGAAAAGCCATAACAATGCTAATGGTGGATTTAGATGCTATGACAGAAAAAGGCATTCAAATTACTCAGAAAGTAGAGACCATAAGTTATAATTCAACTGCAAGTGGGGAGCAAGGGAGCTAAAACAAAAATTCAAAATCCAAAATCCTGTTCTTCAGCCGTACGTACGATCCCAGACGTTTTTCGACCCAGATTCGGGATGTCTTCGGTGTTTGGTCGTACAGTAGTAAAGCGCTACCGGCCGGTGCGGTAGCTTCGTTCTCGCTCTGCGTTCCTCGTGTTCTTCCCCGCAAAACCTAATCAGCCAGCATTCCCATCCTTGACTGAATCCTGGTCGCGTGGTGTACGCGCTCTTCGCGCAATGGCGGGTTGAAGATTGAAGACCCAGGATACAAATCAGTAACGAGAAGTTGAACACAAATTTTCTCGAGAATGCAACAGCTGTAGGCTAGGACGGGAGCAATCGTGCTAGTAGTAGAAGCTACTGGGTACCGTACTACTCGCAGGTAGGTTTATCGGCTTTTGGTGGCTATCGCTTTCCCACTGATGATGCTGCAGCTTTTAGTGTTCTTCTAGAAACCCGAGCTACTACTCGTCGCCCCGCCCTAGATCCTACAAAAGAGACAGGAAGCACCACCTTGTGCCAGTCAACACATAAAGGTATCCTTTGCGGAAGGAGAACACCCCATCRAACCGTTACATTCACCAATAGCGTTAGCATTAGCATCACCAATACCATCGCGAGTTGCGATTGTGAACAGTAGAGTATTAGCCAAAGCSAAAGCGAAAGCGAACACAAAGACAAACCCCCAATCCAGTACCCGATCCAATATCCGATCGAGATGACGACGAAACGACTCAGGGCGTCGGTCCTCGTAGTTGCGACGACGCTGTTCTCMGATGCCTTTGTGCACTACAGCTCCTCGCAGACGCGCTGCAACGGTGCCGGCCCTGCAGCATCCGAKTCCGCGCCTCTTTCCTCCCTCGAACTGTGGCCCCTCGGCCGGGGCGGATTCCACGATTCCGGGGCGGATTCGGATTCCGACGGTGCCACCCAGCGCACCGCCGTGAAGGAACTCACCGCCATGGCGTCCACCGCGGCCCTGGCGGCCGCCCTGGTCTTTAGCCCCCTGGCGGCCTCGGCCGAGAACGAGCTGGCGGACAAGTACGGCGGGAAGGGCTTTGACTCGTCCCTGGTGGACCAGAACTGCCTGGTGGACCGGTGCTCGGTCCAGGCCAAGGCCTGCCTGGCCGACGACCCGTCCTGYCGGAAGGGCCTCACCTGCACGGCCAAGTGCCTGGGAGACAACAGCTGCATCACCGGTTGCTTTGCCCGCTTTGGCAACAAGAACCTCGACAACCTCCTCAAGTGCACCATCGAGGACCACGATTGCATCAAGATCGCGATCCTGCCGGGCGGCGCCGACAAACCGGGGGAGGAACCCAGGGCCCCCAAGGCAACGGTGGCCAATTTCGACTACAAGACCATGGAGGGCACCTGGTACAAGGTGGTGGGCTTCAACCCCAACTACGATTGCTACGCCTGCCAGCGCAACACCTTTGCCCTGCCGGCGACGACCAAGGCGGAAGGAGCTTCCGCGTCCGCCAGCGACACGACGCTCGTGGCYGCCTACAACAACGAACCGTACATGAACATGGGCGTGGAGTTCTCCATGCCCCACCTCCTGCCCGACGGMTCCCCKCCGCCCCCGAAACAGGTCCGCGAGTCCCTGGCCGTCTTTGGCAAGGAGGACCTGCGCAAGAAGGACAGCGCGAACGCCGGCCTCTTGTCCATCGGGCTGAACGAATACAACACCAACGAGGTCATGGTCTTTGACGACAAGGGCAGCGASRCAAACATTGTTCTCAACAAGGGAAAAGAGAACGAGGCTCGTTATTCCAGAACAGCGCACTCGGAGGGAGAGATGTTTGGGCTCAGTGAGTTTCGTTCGATCTTTGTGTGTTTTCAAAATGGCTAGATRTCGGGAGTGATTGCWTTGSATGCGATTCGTTGTACGGTGCCATTCCTAACGCTTCTTGTTTGTCGATAAYATTCCCCCCAACCCCAACAGAATTCTGGGAAAACTGGTACGTCATCGGTGAGAACGACCCCGGCATGCCGGAGTTCAAGTTTATCTACTACAACGGGAAGACCCGCCAGAACACCTACGACGGTGCCTTTGTGTACAGCCGCTCCAAAACGCTCGAACCGGAATCCATGTCCAGGGTCTACGCGATTGCGAAGGAGGCCGGCATGAACCCCGACCAGTTCTGCCGGATCCGCAACGGGTGCTTCGACCAGCAAAAGGAGGAGCCGCTCTTTGGGCCCGAYAAGATCGGGGCACCGACCAGCGAGCCCCTGCGYGGACTCATTGCCAGCACCAAGGTGTCCGAGTTGCTCGGTGTGGAAGCCGTGTCCGCCCGCGACTWYAACGTCCAGGGCCTCGGGCTGTCCCAGCAGCTCCAGCCCGAGCCCAAGGCCTACGACAGCGGGACCAACAGCAACCGGCCCTGGTGGTACGAGGTCGCCGACTACCTGGAGAACCCCCACCGCCACTTTGAGGTCATGGACAGCCTCCGAAAGCCCATGGACTGGTCGGAAAGCCCGCGGTAGCTTTGTGCGTGCAAGCGCGGAACCGGACCATTCCACCGCAAGCGATGCGATGCGTTGTGATTTGATTTGATTTGATTTGATTTGATTCCGAGGTGAATGGTTTTCCGGAGGATGCTTTGGTGTGAACGCCATCGCATCGCAAGATCCTCCACGGCAGCAAACCTAGCGGCACGCCTGGTCACGCAGACCAAGAAGAGAGACCAACAACCGACCGAGATGCTCCGAACGCATCGGGGGTTTGGTCGGTCCGTCCATCCGCATTGCATCGCATCGCATCGCACACCGCTACCACGACCTCGTTTCATACGACACGGTGTATACAACGACCAAACGGTGCGCCGTGGGCTGCCACCGGGATGGTAGTATGTGCACGGGGCACCGGTCTTTTGGTCGACACAACTGCTAAACCTGATAACTATTAAAAACCGCGTTWTCGAACYAGATAGATATGAATTGTRCTTTGGTAGGGGTTCCTTCTGATTGCAAGAAAGGCACTTGCGCAACTACTTGCGACATGTGGGAGGACACCACGACACGTTTCGTCAGTCATTCGATGCTCTGCTCTGCAAGACTGCCTGAAACCAGTCTGCCGAATGGGCCCTACCCGTTGGATGCACAAGAWCACAAGCATTGCTGCGACAGGATCGGAACGGATCGCCACAAAATACAAAACATAGCACAAGATGGACATTCCTCACGCTAGAGAAGACGTTCTCGCCAACGCCGCAAAAGAACGAAAGTATCATTGACGAATAGTAGTAATAGTGTAGAAATTGTTTTCTCCATTTTATATTTCCCACCCCCAGAGCATCGAACCCAATAAATGCTATAGCATTCGTCTGGCTTGACCCATCTGTTTTTGAAATTTGAAATAAGACTACCGAGTTCATTCCATAAATTATTTCATCCATCGAGAAGAGCGATTGAATCATAAAGTTCGTCAGAACCCGTGTTGTGAAGAATCGAACCGGACCCACCAGCATTTGCCCCTTGTGGTTTCTATTTGCTGTTGTCATTGCTTCCGTACTTGTTGTTGTTGTTGTTGTTATTGTTGTTGTATCTGCCTCTGCCTCTTCCTCGGCCGCGTCCCCGGCCACGTCCTCTCCCGCGTCCTCTGCCACCTCTTCCTCGCCCACCGTAGCCACCGCGACCACGTCCGCCCCGGGGGCGTCTTCGGTACGAGTCCAGGGCGGTGGCACCAAATGTTTCCGTGTTCAGTGATCGCTCCGCTTTCCCGCGCAGGCGGTTGTCGATTCCCGATTGCTTGTCCAGTGTGTCACAGGAAATGGAGTCGAAAAAATCTTGTTTCTCGTAGTGCGAGGAGGTGGACAACGAGTTGCTGTTGTGCTGGGGATAGGCAATTTCGTCGCCGGCCTCGTCGTTGTCTTCTTCATTGACTGCAGTGTCATCGGATTCCTTRTCGAATTCTTCCAATTTCGCTTGGAAATCAAATTCTCCCTCGGGATTTTGGGGTCCAGGACCTTCAATGGCACAAAATAGCCATCATCAGATCAATCGCAGTGGAGAGAGCAAATTTATACACACTTGAAAGTTAGGTTCCAGAACAGATTATCCACGAGATGCAAGGCAATTCTCATTTCGTACACATCACTCGGTGCAAACAAGCTCAACTCAAATTCAACCTAGCTCAACACAACTYACCTCCCTCGACCGCGCCCCGTGCCTTACGGTTCAGCAGGCTAGCTCCCGTYCCCACGGCTGCTCCTTTCCGTCTAGAGTTCCCGGACCGCCGTTGGGAGTTCTTCCCGTTTGGCTGGTTTTGGTTTCTTGACGGTTTCGACGGAACCTTCGGTGGCGGGGGCAACTTATCATCGCTGTCCGATGAAGCAATATTGTTATCGCCAGTGGTGTTGCTGCCGTTGTTTGTGGTATTTGGATCATTCTTTCTGTCCGCGTTCGTTTGCGGTGGTGCAGTTTCTGCTTCGCCACCGGTGGTTGGCGAAGATGTGTCGTTGTTCGGTGTYTCTTCTGCTGTTTCCCCCTTTGCCGAAGCTGTGTTCTCAGTCTCCGACTGCTGCTCGTGAACGTGAAGGTCTTTGATGTCGCAGCCCCGAAATAGCAAATAAACGTGGACACCTTCCTGAGGTGCTACAAACGCGGTCGAAGGGTCCGATTTCTCTCGGCCTTCCGTTCCGTACGACCTGACATTTTGCAGGGCAAGCGTAGAGTCTGTTTCGTTGATCGAATAAAGGATACCCTCGTATCGAATRTTCTTCTTGGAAATCAGAGAGATACGGTTTCCTGCGGGTTGCGGCCAAGAGTCGTGTCGCGAGCGTGAAGCAGAAAAGCAGAGATTGCAACAGCGAGAAGCAAAAGTATAGCAGTACAATGAGATGTTGCAAATTAAATTTCACAGGTRATCCACCGAATCSAATAGACAGTGGAATGGTCGCTACCATTCAGTAACGAGCGTGTGACCATTCTTTTCGATCGTCTCGTAATGATAATCGAATGTAATGATATGAAATGGAATGAAATCGAATCGAAGCGGAGGTTTTGGCAAGCTCTGTGAACGGCCAGTTCAAACCGATCGACGAGCACATGACGAATGAAAAGAGGCTAAGGGTGCGGGTATAACCAGTCTTTCTTGCTCTTGCCATCTGGGCAGTCCCCGGCTCTGCCTTCCTCTGCTTCCAAACAGGCTTCGGAGAAAACAAACGCGAAACCAATCCAACCTTTCGGTTGATCCGTGGTTCCCAGGCCGATCGCGTTGCATTGCATCACATCGCTTGGACAATCGGRTTTTGTTGAGTCTGTTCCACCAATCTCGAGTGATATTTTCCCATGGATGTGGCAGTACCGGCCTGCAGAAGGAATCCAACAACGTGCATTGCAGACATGGATTGCATGCGATGAAGGTATTGCAACATTTTGCAAATCGCTTGCCCGGAAGACATAACAAAACAATGACACCAAGAAACAAAACACCATTACTCACCAAGAAGTGGGTTCTGCGCCATGATGGATCGACTATCTGTGCTGTCTTAGACCGCACGAGTTGAAATGCAATGTGTCCGAACGGATTGCTATCGGCCTCCGGAGATAATGTCCTACGAATCACTTGTGTTTTAGTAGTAATAACTTTCGTCAATCGCGGTGTCAAAGTCGTCCTAGTTATTATGGTCCTACCGTACAGTACTGTTACACAGTACCAGCCAGTAGTTGATGGTACGAGTACTGYACGTAGTTACGAAGTCGTTCGAACCTTGCCGCAGAGAACGGTCCTTTTTTATGTGTGATGGAGCTTGGAGCTTTYGTTCACTTGTACTTTTAGTACTACTCGTGGTATTGAACAGTAAAGTAGGATACTTTACTGTACGTAATGTATGTACAGAGTACGRTACATAGAAAGTGATACTAATTCCTTCCGTACGTCGTAGTGGACGGACGGTCTCCTCGTTATTAAGAGTAAACCGTGGACGGGGGCTTCAAGTCCTTTACCATATTATACATACCTATGATTCATAATAATATGTTTTTGTTCCTAGCCTTCGATTTGCCTGCCTAAATTCCATTCCCGTTAACCCAGAAAACCCGAATAGATCTACCAGCCGGTACGGTACACTTAGTAGTCGACCTGTGGTCCGAGAATGACCCCAAAAGAAGTGAATATATATGAAGGAAGTATCGTAAGAACCTTTGTCTTGGTGAGCACACAAAGGGAAAGGAGTGAAAAGAACCACCCGATGCATAYTCGAACTTCTGTGTACGGAATAGCACCCACGAAAGCAATTCACCTCATCCGCCCCGACATGATTGCGCGAGAATGAGGGTCAAACGACAAGGCAACCCAATAGACTGGAAGAAAAGYGCATTCCATTGTGCCTTTCTCCTTTTATGTTTTGCTACGGTGCTCAACTTGCGCGGCTTTGCAAGCTTGGATTTTACGTATCAGCTGATGGAATATGCAAGCACCGAGGTGCTTTCGCCATCGATTAGGAGCAGCAACAGCAACACTGCCTACAARCAATCGTTTGGATTGCTGAATGATATTCCAAACGAGGAGTGGGAAAAAATCCGTCGAAAGGTCCATACGCAGAGCATTTATCAGAACCCGGAGAATCCTCTGCTTCGAGTCCATGAGACCGAATACTGGTTGCAGAACAACCTAAATCCAAATTTTGAWTGCAATAAAAAGGMACAAATAGGGGGACAAAATTTGGAAGATGGAGTGAAATTTGTTTGCAATCCAGATAGGTTGACGACTCACAAGACCGACGAAGGAGACGAAGAAAAGGGTTGCCTGGTGTATTCCATTGGCTGTGCCGGAAACTACGTATTCGAAGACGGATTATCCGAGCGTCTCAAAAATAAGTGCGAGATACACGTCTTTGACCCGGCTCCAAAATGGGCCCGGAGAGGTGATCCCGAAACCAAAAACATYCACTACCACGCATGGGGATTTGTGAGATCGCTCGACCGCCAAGCGAAATCCAGGGTCTGGCCCGCCGGGGTRGGAGGCGAGTTTAAAACCTTTCAAGAAACCATAGAGGCCCTGGGTCACAAAAATAGGACCATCGACCTGTTCAAGATCGATTGCGAGGGCTGCGAATACTCCACGTACAAAGACTGGATCGGCCACGAYATTCGTCAGATCTTGGTAGAAATTCACGGAGTTCCGACCCCGGATGGACCACCGGGATWTTGGTATTCAGAAAACATGGACGTATCTGAATACTACGGAGAGTATCAGAAGAATGGGTTTGCCTTGTACCATAGCCATCCGTATCAAAAGGGGGTGGAATTGGGTTATATCCGACTCGATCAAGATTTCTGGCGCCCGCTCGATGCTTAAYTCCCATCTGCGCTTGCGCAAACTGGACGAGATGCAAACCCTTATACCAACACCACAACCCGCAATGCCGGAGGCACCGAAAATTGTTTTGAATGCGCTTCTTTTTGCCTCGTACGGTACACAACGCTAAATTCTAGCCCCCTTCATGTTTTCATCAGAAAAGACATGGAGGTAAAAATAATGAAATGAATGAATGAATTGGATCGTGACCGCTACTAGTAGTTATACTCAATCGCATAGACGTGCGATTCTCCAATAGATTTCATCAGACTCTGTAGGTAGGGAAAGGTCTACCAAGGCAAAGAACGTTTTTACCATTGCTGAAAGTTCTACTACCATTGCCATTAATTGTTGACGTGCACTTCTGAAAGCTGATCAWATRGACGAGGAATATCGTCACTATTGCTGAAAGATGGGACTGGGTTGGATTTTTTCTCTTGCTATCAATTCAATATTGTTTCCATCACCAGTAGTAGTGAGATTTGTTGTCTCTYAGCCATTATACTACTTGTTGATCTCCTTTGCCAAGGTCATTTACAGGAGAACTAGTAGATTTTTAGTGAGACTTTTGTTCTTACTTACTTTGGATAATATAGCCCACATCCTTACCATCTCTGTGCAAGAAGTGTCACAAAACAATAGCAGCCAGRGTGTACTAGTAATAGTTTGACAAACCTTTTGATTTGTTAGTCCAACTGTGACATGGGGAGAAGAAGAAGAATCTATTTTTTCATTACCAAGATCATTGTTTCAAAKTGGTATATCTTGTGTCCTCAGCAGAATATTGTTAGTGATTTCAGAGTCTTCTTACTAGCTAGCTTAGTTCCTCATACTAGTGATGCCGCAACTTTTGTCCAACCATGGGGCTTTTACTACTACCACCACCAGCAGTACTGTGTCACAATGTGACATGGTAGAAGTGGTAGAGCATCATTGTGATCTATTCAATTATAACATGCTCTCCTCTTAGTAGATAAATTATCATATTTTGTAACAGTCTGAGCCAGAAGAAGTTTTTCTTGTACTTTATTTCTTCAAGAGCCACAAAATCCTTCTTGTTGTACTTTCTTTCAAGAGCCACAAAATCCTTCTTGTTGATAAAGTGATCTTTCTTTGTTTTTATCTCACAATTGCAATCATGATCCTCCCTTTGGCACACAGTACTAAATGGAAATGTTTTCAATTTGACATAACAGCAACAACTCTGAATTATTTGACTTTCTCATTTGAAGTTTTAATGGACTTCAAATCAAATAAAGAAGAGCTTCCTCTGGGTCCTGGTATTGGCCAAAAATTATTCTACATGATAGAGCCATTTTCCTGGAGATGTTCCAGCTGAAATCCTAGATCCCATTCATTTTGATATACAAATTACTGAGAAGAATTGGTAGGCAGAACTAGTAATTGTACTAGTACT